AGGGGGGAGGGGGGTTTTGATACATACAGATGGCTCCACATGTGCTCAGCCGGCAAGGAGTCCATCAGTAGGCCCTATTGACCGATCCTATTTTCCCCCTTCTTTGAATTGGCGGGAAAATGTGTGTTTCTTTCTAATGCAATTGATATCAGTACTGTAATTATTGTAATTGATGTTATGATTATTAAATTGTTACTACACCTTGGTAACATGATTATACAAAATACCCTTTCCAAAAGTCAAGGAAAAGGATAAACAGGTGAGATAGGACTAATAAATGACTCCTTGGTGATCAAGTACTCGTAGAGCCATCTGTGGGTAAATACAATAAATAAACTTATATTATAGTGGACATGGCATGTATTCTTGCCATCCGTGCCGATTGGGTTAACGATATTAAATATTACTGACGTATATCCAGTCTATGCTGTTTCCCTCGAGAGCGCATGATCGCAACGTTTACATATCGCGAGACAGGAGGTATCTATTCAGGGTAATGCGAACAGCCTTTCGGTATCACGTGGGACGGGGTACCGGTCTGGCAGGAGACCAGCTGATATGGCGGAGCAGTGTGACCGCAGTTTAAGCACGAGCGAACGGTCAGACGGATGGCTGGATGGAAACGGAAAGCAGAATAATGTTGCCATTATTGTTGATATGCTTATGATAATCACTTTGATTGATGTTAATATTATTTTCATCATCATTACCATTACTACTACTACTGCGACTATTATTAGTATAGTTGTTTTTGTTGTTTCTAGCATTGTTATTACAATTCTTATTGCATTATTCATTATCAGTATCAGTAGTATTGTTCTTCTTATCATTGTATTATTAATATATTACTAAGATGAAGGGGATGAAAAGTAGTATTTTCCTTTTTGGTTATTGTTCTTAGTATCATTAACATTATCGTTACTATAATTTTCATATCGCCATCGCCATCACCATCACCATCATCATCATCATCATCATCATCGTCATCTTTATTCCTATATCTATTGTTATTATTATTGTTGATATGCTTATGATGATCAATCTGACTGATATTACTATTATTATTGTTATCATTACTGTTATTATGATTAGGATTATAATTATTGTTATTGTTAATGTTATAATTATTGTTATTGTTTTTGCTGTTGATACTATTACTAATATTACTACTGTTGATATTGCTATAATCATTACCAGCATCAATATTATTGTTGTTATTCATATTATCATTGCTGTATTATTATTATTGTTATATTTACTACCAGCAAGATGAAGGTGATACATAATATTATTACTTTTATTTTCCTTTTTACTATTGTTACTGTGACGTGTAACGCTCTCGTCAAGCAATTTTGGTAACCCGCGATTAAATCCCACGCCGCCAGTGAGTGGTACGAGTAACCCCTGTCATTCCTTGCACACAGGGGGTAATTTAGAGGCAAATTAAAAAGACATAAGCTTTGTAAGAATGGAATTTAAACTGAATTAATTATATTTTATTATAAGTATATGCGCTTGTGTGGTAGATGTATTTGAGTCTGTATTCTATAAATCCATGCCTTATGCCTTGCGATACACAATTAGGTTCCGAAATAACTAATGTATATTCACCATAACACTGCTTAACTGAACACAGCGCAGTAGTCATAAAAAACTGTTATTTTACACCTCGATAACTACTACCTATAACCTTTGTACGATTTCCTGCTACATTAGGTGACCGTGAGTGACAAACAGGTATGGAAATGAGATTTAATAACTGATGAATATTTTTGTTCGAAAACAAACAATACTGTACAACCAGGTGGAAGCTAGCCTCCTAAAATGCATGCGGTCGTTATTGAATGCATAATTACATTAAGCTGTAGAAAAATAATATAAAGGTTTTCGTAACTCAGGTTCATATTTCCTTCTCTTGCTTTTCCATTATGGTAATTAACCTCGATATATATCATGATCAGTACTGAAAATGCCGTTTATGATAATGTTAACAGTATTAATGATAATGTAATAAGTAATGAAAATACTAATATGGGTAATAATGATAATGATGATGATGTCAGTTATAACGATAATAATATCACTAATAATGATGATATTGAAAAAAAAACAGTAATCAATA